TTCTAAATATTATTGTAAATATTTATCTAAAATAACAGAAGAAATGTTGGTTAAGCCGAGTCACATAGTCGAGCTGAGCTACTGCTTAGCTTTCCCAGTCTCTCGTTCCAACGAAAATGAAGCTCATGTTAGGTAAATCGTATTTATGTATGTCCACATCCACAGCATCCAGTGCTCTCTATATGCTGCTTATAGCTTAAAGCTGAATGATAAATAGTTGTTTGCTGTTTATATGTGTTTATGTTAAGCCCGGATAAGCCGGTGCTGTAAATGTCATCACTTTTGACTGTCCGAGCCTGATCCGTTTACCGCTGAACACTTAACGCCGTCATAAAGTGCCGCTAGGGCCAAGAGAGAAAATGCTAAAACATTGCACAACAGACATAAAGTGCGCAAAGAAGTGCGCAGCTTGTGCCAGATTTGCTTTTAAAAAGCGCGCTGGGATTGAAATTGGCTGCCAGGCCAAAGGCAGTTCCCGAACCCCATACCCTCCCCCCATACCCTCGCTTTCAACCGACCCCAAAACGAACAGAATTCCCCCTCCCAAGCCCATCTCAATTCCCAGCAACAGTCGCTGGCCCCGGCCCAGGCCCAGACCTTCCAATTCCATACGCCAGCAGAGAAGCCAGCTCCTTAACTCGGAGCAGTCACAACGCACTTACAAATGCGCTTTTAACTTAAATGACAGTCCTAGGAGGGGCGCCGCCTGCAGCAGCAGCAGCAGCAGCAGCAGCAGCAGAAGCAGCGGCAGCGGCAGCGGCAGCTGTGAAGCTCCGTTGATACATGATGGGGTCCCAGTGCCAGCCAGCAACGAGCACCAGAAATACGCACTGCTATTTTTTACTTTAGACATTTCACAGTTGCCACCCACAGGCGGGCCAACTGCCTCATGTATTACAAGGATTTGATGTAAATATTGTATTAGTTGGGGGCCAAAGTGTTGAGTAAATTTATTGGCAGCACATAAATCGCTTTTCGAATGGACGAGGCGTTGGCGTTGCCATTGCTCTTGCTGCTGCTTTTGCTGCTGTTTGCCACACCCACAGCCATTAGACAAAGTCGCTCTCGTACCGTGTGGCCACTTGCCAAATACAAAAAAGCTAGTCACTTTCTAGGTGAACGGCAAGGGCTTGGAGCTTTGCATTAAAGCTTGCGATTGTGCATATAGTAATATAAATGTGAAGCTAATCTTATAATTAGTAGCAGCCAGAGCGTGCAGCGGACAGCGGTGTCCTTAAAAGGATTTTTTGTACTATAAATATATTATAAAAAGAATTTCATAAAATTCATGGAATTAGCTGAGCTTCGCATATGGCTCGCATGCAGTAAAACTGAGTGAAAAAGCTACCAAGCGTCAGATTCATCTCAAGTGGCTTAAATATGTAAATGATATTAGTTTGCTATGTATGTATTATTTTTCGATTTCTTATTGTGTATAGCTTGACTTCTAACTTGGCTTCAAGCGTTGGCCATTAGACCAGCAAATCCTTTTTGTTCTTTTGATAGAATATAATAATCTTTAACTTCTTTATATAAACATTTGCAGGCGAGATTATATATAAATATATACTTATTCATCGCACAAAGCTCCTGGTGAAGATTACCTCGGGCATACATACATGCCCATGATCTTCTGTCCGGCGCACTAGAACTAAGAGATAACGCAGATGTTACAACTATCAACACCTATCAGACCGGCTCTTGAATTGAAGTCTACCATATAGCCATAGCCATATGATAAGGCAACATAATTAATATGATTAGATTCTATATTATCTTCAATTTATCAGCTAAAGCTATGTCGAGAGCAAACTTGAACAAAAAACACCTGAGGTATGTAACAAATATTGATTTCAATGGGGCAGCAGGTTTTTTTTTATTTTTTTTTTTTTTTTTTTTTTTGTGTATATTTATTTTAAGCACTGCAGGTATTTCTATGGTATATTTTAATGAGCATACTTTTGGGCGAAACAAATAATAAATAATTTCATGCAGCCCAGGTCACGTCCAATGCAATTTCAGCTCAAATTTATGCTAAATACATTTAATTTTCAATAATAATAATAAAATTAAAAAAAAAAAAAACACACACACAGAGAATGTAAATTCAATTATGTGCAAATAAAACTTGATATTCATATATTTCAATAGTTACTAAATATGTGAGCCGTTGCGCCGCTATGCTAATGCATTTTCCAAATCCAAATTCAAATCCAAATCGCAATCAAAATCCCTAAACACCAGAGCTCCCCGTCGCCCCGCCCATAAATGAAATATTCAAATGCTGACCTGTCTTCAAACTGCTTTGAAATGCGGTTTACAATTTTTTGGCTCAATGCTGGACCATGTTGTTGCCATTGTTGTTGCTGTAGTTGTTGTTGTTATAGCTGCTGCGCCAATTTTAATTAACAAACAACATGGCTGGCTCATGTTGTTTTGTTCTGCTCTATTCTGTTTTGTTTTGTGATGTTTTGCTCTCCTGTTTTTCTATTTGTAGTTTTGATGTGTTCTATTTTGTTGCATGGCACTCGCAGAGTCAGCGCCTAGAGTTATGCATAGCGGGAGAGAATGAGAGATTGAGAAAGAGATAGACAGAGAGAGAGAGAGAGAGAGAGAGAGTTGCTCCATTCTCTCATTGTTTAAAGCTTATTTTTGTTATAGTTTCGACAAAATCCACACATACTTATGAGCATACAGAGTTATTGGTTTATTGATTCGAATTGCAGTATTTTTTAAATACTCAAAGCTAGTTAATCATGCATACAAAGAGGCGTGGCATGATATTTGAGGAAGTTGAATTACAAACGAAGACATATTTCATATTTGATAATAAACTTTGCGGTGACTTTAAGGGAAAATTTTTTATTTTT